GTCTGGAAGATAGTATGAGAAAGTAAAATGAGAAACGATGCTGAAGAGAAGTGCAAGGGCAGAAGTAAGTGAGACAATTAATGCATTAACAGTGTGAGAGGGTAAAACGGGAAAAGAAGGACTTTTGTTGGTTTTAAATGTTTTTAAAATTGTATAACCACTTGGCGTGCAGCAAAGGGGATGAATCATATCATGATCATCATCACAGTGTGATTATGGCAACGGTATCCTGTTCAAAAGAAAGCTTCCAGTCTCGCCGGAAACCCTCCAGTCCATGTACAATTCTATTATCTTAAGACCTGCCTAGAATGCGGTGGAAGCAACTTATAGATCAAAAGTCCTACTTTTTCTGTAAGAAAATCTTAGAAACTTTGAGAAGCACTCCTTCTAGCCATAAGCAGCCAATGTTATTGCAAAGTGGCCAATATGTTTTCAGTGCCTGATTTAAGAGAGGTAAATATCACACTATTTGGTCTAATTATTTGAACCAACTTTTTTTTTTTAATCTTATTTCAACGTTCATCCTTACAAAATTAAACAACACGTAAAATTGTTTCATCCTCATCTAATCCAACAAAAGGAACATAAAAAATATATAATGTAAGATGTTTATAACAATCCAAGATTTTAACTGTCACAATTTGAATGAAGATGTGGAATAATATGAAAATTTAATCGAACCATACTCGTAAACGGTTGAAAATTAGCCAAGAATGTTCAACAACATAAACTTCAACTTAATTTCATTCAGTTTGCTACTGTACTGAAATGATTAAGAGGGAGGGCCTAAGATGAAGATCCTTCTTTACAACCTTATATTGAAATGCACCAAGTACATGAACTTGCTTGCCCTTTTAATTTTTGTTTTAGCCTTCAAATTTTTGTCCAATCAATATTATTGCCACAGAACTCCAAGTAAATTTCAAGACAGTCCTAAGAATTTACTGAAAAATGTAAACCCGTCACTGTGCTGTGCATATATTCACCCTTCCTACTCTGTTACTTGAAAAGAAATGCAAGCAGAAGCTGTATAAATAAAAAGTACACACTCTACGCATCACAGTAACAAAAGATGCCCCTGTATAAGAGCATGTCCACCCATGAAGGCTAAGGCAAGGCAAGGGCTGCCACTATTCACGTGAATAGTGGCAGCCTTGCCTTAGTTGGTTCCACCCTTAGAAGGCTAGGGCAAGGGCAAATACTATTTATATGAGATATGAATAGATGAATTTGTATAAAGTTTTTGGTGTGGGAAATAAAGAATATGCCTAGGTATTTATTTAAAAAAATTCTGGAATTTTTGGTATTTTTTTTCCATTTTTTTTCAATTTTTTTTTGGTTGCTGACGTCATTATGACATCAGCATTGCATCATCCTGCCCTGGCAGGGGGCCTTTTTCCCAGGCAGGGCTCCTACGCTGGAGGTGCTCTAAGCAACAACAATGCACACTACTTTGAACCATTTCGCATCTCTGGAAACTTACACACATAATTTGTTACCCTGAAACCTTGAATTTATATGTGGAGTTACAAAACAAGATTATTTTTTATTTTTTATTTTTATAAATCATCCCCAGTTCACCAAAAGAAGATTAAAAAATGTAAAGAGAAGAAAATAATTGATTTCAGAACCAAAGAAAACAAATAAGAAAATAGAAAAACTAACATTCGATTCTAGGCTGCTGTCTTCGTTGCATCGTTCTTTTAGAAGAGGACAACGGTATATCAGATTCTTGCACCTCCATATTCTTAGGAACTGAAGAGATGCAAGACTTCCCAACCACTCTGGAAGAGCCTCCATACCATTAAAGTCACATATTGACAAATCATTTCATTGTTGAGAATTCACAATATCCCACTAAATCTGGGATTAGTCAGGAAAACTATTTCATTGTTGTAATTTGCAATTGATTCTGTATTTTTACTTACATAAGTTGTACAACTAGATTGCTTAATTGTAGGACGACTTATGTATAAATCCATTTGCTTGGTTAATGAGAAATTCATTCTCGCAATTATATTCTTATACCAATTTTACTAGATTACCTCGAGTTTCAATTAAGTGAAGTGTTGAACTTGTCAGGGAGCCTCCATTCCGTCAACCACTCTGGAAGAGCCTCCATGCCATCTCTTATCTATTTTTTCCCCATGCAAATATCCTCTTTTTAACAGGTTGAAGCTCCGATCGTTGTTCTCGCAGTTCTACGAACGATCAAAGAGAACTATGCCTTAGGTATGAACATATTGTTTTAGATGCCTTTATCTTATTTGAGAAGCCATTTATTCAAACATATTTAAGATAGGGTAAAATCAGATTTAAAATACATAAGCAAATGAGAAAGAAAGAAGAAGCTTAGGATCCAGAGTTTCTAACTTTCATGCTGATGTTAAGACTTACTGATGGTTACAGGAAATTCCATAAAAGATGACATGCTGATCTCATAGGAGTCCGTGAGGTTGATGGAGGCTCAACCACACAAAATTTAGGGGTGAACAATGCAATAACCAAACTTCTGCAGGATGAATTGGGGCTCAAGGTTCTTGCAACAGGACCTAAAGTTGGACTTGATACTACAATAGAACCAGGGAACACTACTGATTCAGATCAAGATTTAGAAGAAATGTCAGGGAGGGATGAACTACCTGCAGAGTTGATCTATGCCACGCGAAGACCCGTGGCTTTAGAAAGGCTAAAGGTAACCAGGGGATCACTGCAACATTGGCTGCGGAAAAGAAGTGCTCCTAGAAGGTGACTGCTTCATATGTAATTTGTACATGCTACCAAAAAATCGAAAACACGGAATAAGCCTGTATCGTACTGGTGTCACATGTAAATTATATACAAAGGGCAAATGTAATTTGCACAAGCAATGAAAATAAAGCAATTTTCTTTGTGTTATACTCTTAAGTTCACAACTGAATATAAATGCCTCAACAAAGTTCAACTAATTTCCAAACTTGCAATCCCCTAAGAAACACAAATTTATCATACGAGCCGAAACAAAGTCGCGAAATCTTTGTTCATTCATTTCATTCCTTTTCCTTACAATTGAACAATTC